TTAGCTTCGTGGCCTTTCTCGCAGGCCGTTTGTACACTGTATTGGATATTTGTGCTAATCACGTACTATACTGCAAGCTAAACCTTGCGTTTCCGGATATACTGGCTGCGGTCGTCTGGGTCAGTCCTTAGAAGGCGCCGAAGACACTTACCTCTTCTGGAATAAGGAAGTTGTGGACGTTGAAGTTGAATCCCTCGCTTTCAGTCTCCGGCAGGCCCTCTTGGTCGTCATCAAAGTCGTAAGGGGGGAATTCGGTGGGTTCGAAGGCCTCCATATCCAGCTCACGCTGTTGTCCCTTATTGCGAAAAACAACGGCTTTCGAGTACCGTCCGAGGCCAGCTCTGTTGCTGGCACATATTCTAACTGAGTACTCGACACCAGGCATCAAATCTGAAGAGTAAAGAAGGTGATATTACCCCACCGAACATTCCATGTCATTTAATTTTTTTCGCTAAGATTGCCTTAACAGGACACGAAAGAGAAACCACTCACTCTGCGGCCCGCAATTGGCTAATTCTTCAGCCGAGAGCGAGCCACTGTTCGCCGAAACACATTCCTTTGGTGCAGAATCTCGAAACCATTACGCTCAAGGAGGACTGAGAATACTGTGTTCCTGTGTCAACCCTCCCACATCACGAACTAAATTCACTTAACAAGCTGCAGTTTTTTTTTTCTGCTAAACTGTCAACTAGATCTGTAACTGCACATATCTTTCGCTGATATCGTACCTTTGTAGTCAGGTTTTTTCACTTGAAACAAACTCCCTATTTCACCCACTATTCACCAAGCACAAAACTAAAACAAAACCAATACTCACTGCAAAAGAGGGAGTTTGTTTTAGGTTTTTTCCTGTCTTCGGGGTTCTGGAAGGCGCCCAAAAGGTGCTTTACTAATGAACCCAATTTTGACCTTGCCTATAAACTGGCAATAAATAAATAAATTTCTTTTCTTCGACACAGGTCGCTTTATGTCAGATTCCGTTAGGACTAAAATAGGGGTTAGAGGTAAGTTTAGCATCAAGTTCAAGGTTGGGGTTCAAGTCAGAGATGGGACTAGGGTCGGGATTATGGTTGTAGCGGGCAGCCAACATTGCTGGCCGACTTCCCTGTCCATTGTCCACCACCTCAAGGTCACGCAACGTAGCAGGGAACGCTTTTCTATTTGCTGACCTGAAGACCCCTGACCGACTTCAACTCGCACGCAAGTTCCATGCACATTCAAATAGTCGCGGCTGCCAAGGGGCCACTTGAATACAGCACTCCTCGGCCGATGCAGCAGGGGACACAAGATACGACACCCCATCGGACAATGTAACGCGCCAGTCGTACATCACTGACCACCACTTCACTTTTATGTAAAAGCAGCTGCCACCTCTCTCTGTCACATTCTCTGGCCTGACTGGACACAATCAACACCAGCTCTGGCTTTTACAGTGGCCTGAGACAGCAACTCAGAGTTCTGTGCACGATTAATCCCTCCCACGGATGCCTTCTGCCTTTTTCCAGCAACCTAGAATTTGGCCTGATGATTGTAGTGCTGCATGCATATGTTAAGCGTTTGGACTCCTGCTAATTATATGGTTACTGTTAGGGTACGGTTAGGTTTAAAATTAAAGTTGCATTTCAGTTTTGGCTGGATTACAGCACGAGAGTATTTGCCTTGGCTGAAATTTATCGCAAGGGGGGCGTTTCTACTCCGTGTTCTGCGTAGGCGGCCGTACAAGTCATCCTTATCGAACATTTGGCAACAGTAGCTTATGTAGCCCACTCATTAATCCCTACTCTGTGCACGTTTTCCTACGAAAACGGTGGTTATAGAGTTTTATGGGTGGGGAATTAGGACACGCAGTGGAATATACTTTAATAAATGCTAAATTCATTTAGAAGTGTTGTTGATTTATATCTGTAGATTTTCCTAATCCCTATTATCGTTTAACTTATTGCGGAAAAACCCGATTTCAAATTGCAGGTTTCTTGAATTTCCCGAAATATTGAAACGGTGGTTAGGAGGTCGGCTACTTCAACTTACCTGAGGTCCTACTTACCGTTCTGGAGTTAGATTGGTATAGTCCGCGGCGCGAAGCACCGCGCACACCTTCAATTTATATGCGGAACAACTTACTTCCAGCGGCTGCGGGAAGCAACTTCGACTACATTTTTTCACTTTACACTTCTAAAAATTTCCTTCTCTGTCCATCCTACTTCCCCACCCCCAAAACTCTATAACCACCATTTTTGCAGGACAAAATACTGGGACTAGGGGTATATGAGTGGGTCTAAATAAGCTACTTTTGCCGAATTTTTTTGGCAGACTTGCGCCAAATTCAATTGGGCCTGCTTCTGCGTCTTAAACTCAACCCTGCTCGTACTATCGAGCGGGGCGTTCCTATTCCGGCTTCCTACCACTATTTTCTCCATGAATCAGGAAGCATTTGCAAGACAAGTCACCATCACCCACCCCATGCGGCGGGACAGAGTCAACAACAGACAACTAAAAGTATACATTCGTGAACTAGTTGTTCATTTAATCTAATTTCGTACTTGACGCAGAAGCGACGTCACACGGCACTGATAAGAGTTTTTTGCATACACAAAGTGGAGGCAGACAACTTTTGGCACAGTACTTTTTCTGCAATTCCAAGGACCGGAGATCTTCTTAACTTGGAAGTGTACGTTTGCTCGTGTTTTCCCTATCGCCAGATGACGCAGTTGACTTGATCTGGAAAGTTATCCAGATCGGTAGGAGCCCATCTTGTTGCTACAACAAGCGTAGTTTAAACACATAGTTGGCGTGGACTGACATTAACACAACAGTCATCGGCCACGGAGTGTGGGTATAAAGTCCGGAAATGTCTTGCTGGATCAAACAACTAATGTCATGGTGAAGAGAAAATACTTGCAAAGCTCATCCGTGTCTGCTTTTGACTTCTACTTTTTATACCGATTTATCCTCACCCTCAATATCTCTTTGGTAACTTATATAAGGTGCCCGCCGTGACCAAATAAAAGTCAGGGCACTTGGATTCTGATGTATTCGTCTGTTGGCCAGCTGAGGCTGTCCGCTTTCGAGTGAATCTGAATAAAGGCGCTTCTACCATGCGAGCAAGTAATGTTGGATATGCATTGCAGAAACTCTGCGTTTCAAAGTTTTGCGAAGCGCTCCGTGTGGGTTACTTCCCTGTGGAAATCCATAAACCCATATTGATCAACTTAGCAGCTGTCTGACTCTATGCGAAAACGCTCAAGTCACTTCGATCTTGAAGAAATGCGTCAAATCACTCCATAGGACCTGTCATCGCATAAACCATCTTGAACTGTTTCCCAGCATCTTCGTAGTCCTTGCCTTCAAACACTGTTGACTGTGCCCCGACGCATTGGCACTAAGTGCCCATTGCGACTTGCACTCGGAGGAGGGCTGCCTGGGTCAGCATTTCCCGGATTTACATACTGTAATCAGCAAACTCCTTTCGTTTGTTTCATTAAATATTGTCCTTTTATTTACTTCTATCCATTAGGGCCCTCTGTCGGAAGTACTGTAGTATGATGGTAGACCACAGATGTCGTCAAGACTGACTCAAACTTACTGTCACAGAACCCACGCCTAGGAGACCGAAAGGGACAAATAATCAACTTACGTCATGTCTAGCGTCCTCCAGGGTCCAAATCTCTTGCCAGTGTTGTCCAATCATATGACGCACTGGGTTTTTAAACGCGCGTTGGCAGGCTGCAATGACGTTGAGTACACCAGAGTCTGTCTATACTTGACTATGCCTATCCATCGCGAACTTACAGGAGTTTACTAACAGCGACATCTTACTAACTAAATAATAAATAAATAAATATACAATTTATTTATTTTGTATTATTTAGTTAGTAAAATGTCGCTGTTGGTAAACTCTTGTAAGTTCGCGATGGACAGGCGCAAAGACAGCTACAGTAAGACAGTGTTGAAGTTGCCGACTTTGCAGGTAAATCCTATTATCCATGGTCACACTTTCCGCCGGACGAGCAGGTATGCGATCCTTTTTCGAATCCCTTAAACTACCTGGAGTCCACATGAGGACAAGTGAATGTCCTCAGCGGATGTAATCCACTGCGCTTTCAGCTTCGAATCTGACTGTCCAATCAGGTTTCAAACAAACGACCATCGGGTCAATTACCATCTCCTTACTCTTTGATTTTCATGACTCGGTTTAATGGGCAAATTTATGCAGAATCTTATCTCGCTGGAACCCGCATCTGACCGAAAAAAGGCCTCCCGATAGCTCCTTTTGGAGTTAGGTGAACTCCGAGGCATCTTTACTATCCCACTTTGCATGACGAGCATGTCAACGTGGAGCTGTCTGAATCGGTCATGATGAATGTTCTCACAAGCACTGACTCAGCGTTCGAGCGCCTTTGTCCAATTTGTATTCCATACCACCTGTCAAGTGAGCAGAGACCTGTGGGTGGCACTTTGTCAAACGCAGGCGGCTCAAACTCAAACTTTACTTTCTCCAACCAGAAGAGACAAGACTGACAAACGATGCTCGCAGGCCAAAAAACGGTGGATAAACTTGTGCCTGGCAGGCGTCTCTACTTTGCAACTCCTAGCGCACCACCGATACAGCGACCAACTGCATGCAATAGTCATAAACTCCAAATAAGGTGCGGTCAGAGGGTTTGACACCCTTCAACTCCAACCTGCATGCCCCGGAAGACGCTATAGCCCTCAGTTGAATTTGGAATTCTAAGGTTAATCAAATAGAAGAACGAATTCTCTCCTCTACTTATGCTCGTAGACCTGAAAGCTTTTGACTCCACAAGATGAAAGTTGATCAAAACACTCTAAACGATAATCGCCGCAGATAAGAAGGCAGTACAGGCCTTGACTGAGAAAGCTGGAATAACCTCGGCCCTCTATAGCAATTTCCGCTTAACTTTGCGGCCAAGTGGTCTAAACCGGATGATCTTCGAAAAACATTAGTTTCGATGTGTGCTTTGGGCGAGCGTCGAGTTGGGCTTTTATAGGGTCAGTTTGTAAATGAAAATGAAGGACTTCGAAGTCGCTGAAATTGCAGAATTAACGAAGGCGTTTTTAAAAGGACTTTGCTAATTCTGCTCGGTCGAATTTCTTGAGATTGAACTACAGGCATGGCAGAATGGGGTCTTATTATCAGGACAGTCGGACTTTTTTGTGGGAAAAGCTACCGGTCCTGATGAGTACAGAAAAAATACTCTGGCAAGAAATTCTGGCGTTATATTTAGCACAGACACGTAGTTAGTCGCAGACAAACCTACCAATAAGCGCGCAACTTGTGGCATTCTTCTCGACTTTTATAATTTGAGATGAATCGTAGGTGGAGTTGACCTCCAAAATGAAGTGGAGGAGAGCGCCTTCACATTCAATGTTGTCCGGGATTATCCATGTCACCCTGGTCGTCTGCGCACTGACGACATCAACACTAACCTGATAAGAAAGGAAAAGAAAAAAATATGGATTTAGACAAAGGTAGCAATAACAGTGAAATTGAAAGATGCGGGATATACCTGCGTTTGCATCATGCAGCATTGATAAACCAGGATACTTTAAGACTGCAGTGTACCTCCTTCCGTCGGTATTCGTTTTGCCCCGCTCCCCTCCATTTAAAAATAACGTAACCATCTGCCTCCTTCTTTAACACTAGACGCATTGCCTTGCCGTCTATACCTTTGGCATTATCGTTAATCTCAATTACTTGACATTTTATATTAGTCAACACCATACGGTTTATCCTATAGTTGATTGTTCCCCTTTTTCGTAGTCACGCCCCTTTTGTTTCCCCTAACACCTTTTTCTTTGTTTAAATGTTCTATATTGGTCACGCGAACAGTAATATTATCCCGCCTCTCCCGGACTTGGAAACGTTGTGTGTAAGAGTACTATTTATGTTTGTTCCTAATCTGCAATTATAGAACCGTTCTCAACTCCTTGATATTGTTATCGATCTAAGGGAGATCGCGTCTACACGAGTTAAAAAGTAAGAACCAGACCGGCTTTAAGCATCTGGTTAATTATAGAATCCGAATATTCTACATGCAGTAAGAATGAACTTGGGATTAAATGCTCATCCACAACGTCTTAAATGCTGTACGGCAAAAACAGTTCCCCTTAACCGAGCCGCGTGATAGATACGCTGGACCAACAAGGGGGCCAGATCAAGGTATGGCAGACGTTATTCGGGCTGCGCTCCCATAACAAATGCCGAGCACGGGAGAGCGTGTATGGTTGTGCCAGCCACCTGCGCCCGATTCCACCTCTGGTCTTCTTGACTCTGTTTTGCGACCGAGCCCAGATAGGTGAGGGAGGAGCGAGAGCAATAGATGCCTCGAAAGTCTACTATCACCTAAAACTAATTCACGCGCAAGTCATCGTCCCTGCATCACTCTATTGTAGAGCATACGGTGGACATCTCTGAAATCGACGGTCGAACCGCAGAAATTCACTGCACAAATTCATGAGTTCTGCTGTAATCTATCTCCATGGTATGGAATTTTGAATGCCGCTTTTAGCGGCTTCGAGACATGCAGGTAAAGCTACAGACCCTATTGTCGATAAAGCACGAAATGCTATACGAACAATATAACATTCCGGCCTAATTCTCAATTCAATATTCTTCAAATTACAAAACTAAACTATCATTTCAAGGAAAGGAGTCCTTCGCGAAAAAGGAGTAAATTTATTCAGCAAATTTAATCATTTTCCCAAAGGACGCCTTTCCTTGAAACTACATTTCTTAGGATGCCAGCCTTCCAGTTTATACGAAACTAAACTATCATATTAATGACTAAAAAAATGACTTCTTAATTTCTGACGGATTAAAAAAACGAACAGATGGTAAATTTAGGCAATATTGATATAAGAAAGTGAAAGTATAACATTCCACTTCGGATGCCCGGTGGTGAAGAAGGCACCATGTAGTTTAAATGTTTATTCAGTCCTGTCGCTGATCGCTTCTCCGTCGATTTTAAGATACAGTAGATTGCCTATCTCACGAAATGTCCCCCGAAATTCCGGGATGTGTTTTCTTTTCAAACACATCCTAATCCCACGATATTTGAATCACGTTGGAATAAGCATTTTTCAGGTCGGCTGCAAAAAAGAATACCCTACAAACAATGACTATTTACGCAACATGCATTTTCTCATTGTTTTTCGATGCGCCTCCTCATTCAAATATATTTCATCGAAAGCATGGACAAAAATAATTTTTCTTGTGCTAGTCTGGTAGAAAATTGGGCCTTCCTGTTTAAACAGAAGTATTCCCGGATAAGGCTGCACGATAATCAACATTGCAGCCCTGCCTAAGAAAATTATTCGAATAAAAATCAAATTTCAGAATTTCGGATAACAGTTCTTGAGACGAGCAATCTACTGTACAGTTCGGGGAAATTAGAATGTTAAAGACTGCCATTAAAGGAGAATATGCGAGTTCCAGGCAGCAGTTCAGAAGAAGAAGATGCGATCACTGGAACAAGGACTTTAGTTTCCTGACAGTTCGGATTCCTTCGGGAATCCTTCGGGAATCCTTAATCATTGGTGATGATAACATAGGTATGGTCATGCGCAGATAGGGTGGAGACATGCACAGGCTGCACGGTATTTAT